TCCTTTCCTTATCCCAGGCAGAAAGATGCAAACAGAGAAGGAAAGGAATAAGAGGAAGAAGGGAGGGAGGGGGAGAAAAATCTTAACATGGTTGTCATTGCTAGTACTACTTAATAAATCATGGTGCACTTTTTAAAATGCTCACATCAAGGTTTAATAACCCTACCAGAAATAAGCGTAAGGCCATAGATGAAGGGATAATGCACAAAGAGCACAATAGGTTATTTCCTATCTCATTTTTTCAGCTCAATCATGGAAGTTTTTTGTATTGACAATCATAAACTGAAATGAGTACATGAATGGGAGGGAAAGACAATACCTCAGTTTATTCAAATACAGCACCTATTTCTATCAACTGTCAGACCATGCTGAGTTAACCAATTGGACACTGACATACAGAAACACGCACATAAATACCATAGCAACTAGGACAAAAGCATAGCAACGACAGCTGCTATTCTGAAGGAAAATGGTCTCTGTTTATAATCATAAGAATAATATAAAGAAAACCCCCAAATACTACACTTAATTTCTGCCTCACCTTTCCTGGTATAAAAGAAATGACAATTCAAGTACGATTTTTAAAAGTTCCAAGAAAATAAAGAAAAGTGGGAATAGACAGACAAGCCAAAGAACACCCACATAAACCTGGGTAGAAATATTTGTCATAATAGCAGGGCCTTTGACCACCAAATATGAAACCTGGCTTTCTTCCTACACTATGTTGAGCTGGGGACACAGCATACTTTTGTAATTGACCATTATGTTGCAGCTATTTGTGTTTGTGTTACCTGCCGCTAACTAATGCTGACACTTAGCAAAAACCGTGGCTTGCAATCTGAGAATCAGTCAGAACCCTGTGAATGATCCCATTCCCTTCTTTCCATTCCCTCAGATATAAACCATGCTATCACACTGTAGACATGCTAATGCAAACAAGGATTCCTTTGTAAAGCTGAGACTGAATCTATAGCTTGAAGATGGCTTACATATCATGGTTACACAGGAAATTGATTTGTACTGATGCACATGAAATGAAGACTCATTTATGTAAAGCATACCTTAACATATCTTTGTTTGAAACCCTGTTAAGGAACTCTGAACAGTCATATCAAGGAATTTAGAAATGCGGTTATTTCCTGTGCTATCCCATTCAATTTCATTACTTGCTGAAGGGGGTTGACTGTGGTATCATAGAGCATGAAAGTGCTTACAGCATTTGTACGATCCAGTTATGCCTTGTCAGCATGGTACAAATGTCTTAAGGTCTCTCATTGTGTCAGGTTGTGGGAAAATGTAACCAACCAGTAATATCACAGTTCTTTTGAGTTAGTACAACGGTGATACGTTATGGAACTGTGGGCAGGTGAAGGTTTGATATCCTGGCCTGTAAAGTAACTCTGATTAAAATAATCCATCTTTCTCAAAGATCACAATACAAAATTGTAGTTATAGAGTGAAAATGGACACTTTCACTGACCTTCCTTCGTTCATGCATGGAGGAGGAGAAGGGGTAGGGAACATGCAGACATTAGGCTCACAGTAATCCATTCATTATTACCTAAAAGATGCTTAAGGGAATGATCCTATGGACTCTGGGAGAGCATGCAACATAAGAAGAATGCTGCTACCTGTCCTCCAAGACTAGAAAAGTGACCACAGAAGATAAGGAAATTGGACAGACCAGTGTGTGAGAGGAGAAAAGACCAGTAAGGTCAGCATATGAGATATCCAGGGCCTCCTTCAGCCTCTTTCACTCGTCCTCAAAAGTGTCCTTGCTTAGATGGACTCAGAAGCCTGTCTAGCAAAATTTTTCAAAGACAGAGGACAGAAGATTGCTTCCACCACCACTCCTGCCCTGCTGGCATCAGCCTGGCGACTTCTGTGCAATGGGTGCCCAAGCAGTATGTGGTAATCTGAAACAGGCCTGATTTCCAGAAGGTTCAGGATAAAACTTAATTGATTATGAATTCACTATTATATGATATGGTGCTGATCACTGGCTTCTATGGCTTCAATAATGATTTAAGCAAAAGGCATAGAGAATATATCCATTCGTGGCTAGCAGCCGTGATAGCTAAACATTAAATCTCTTGTTCACTATGTTTTTGAAAATGTGACACTAACCACAAACAAGAGATGGTTTTCCAAAACATGCTTCATTCATTAGTCACCAGGAACATCTGGCTAGCCACTGAGAGAGGTAGAGTGCTGAACCAGAAGACAGCCTTTGTGTTCTTATGATATGGAGTCAAGCTCCTCTAATACTTATATTAGACTGCCTGTCCCTCTTTATTCATCCTAGATCTGTTGAATTCTAAAAATATCATACAGTCCAATTTTGCAACAGGATATATTCAAAAGGCAGTATTAATGCTACCACACTACTTGTAGTATAATTGAAAGATCTCAGTGAGCTCACAGCTTATCACAAGATTGATTTCAATGTTGTGAGTCTTACCGCAGCCCCAAATATCCAAAGTAGAGTGTAAGGCCACCAATGACTACTAGACTTTATGGGGATTTATTAACAGCAGTCTGATCCTGAATACTAGTTGCTCAGGTACCTAAGAGAAAGAGTGCTCTTGCACTCTTGTCCTACTCAGGGCCTTCCCGTCTTGCTGGCTAATGGGGGAAGTAAATGCTGGATTGGACAGGCATTAGGTCTGATCCTGCAGGGCTTTTCTTACTTTCTAAAGTTAGCATTTACCTGAATGAAGTAATGTAGGAGAGAACTGTTTCTATACAAGAACCAGACTTGCTACATGCCATGAGGAGAGAAACCATTTGTTATCTTACGTCCCCTGCCTTCTGCAGCAAGACATTTTTTGAGACATTGTCCCTGGTGAGACGTTCACATACCCTGTCCAGTCAGGCAGCGACGCCCACTTTCAAAGGAAAAGAGGTTGGAGTCATAGCCATAGCGACGCAAACAAAGATACGGCCACCGAACAGCATCACGTTTGTGTGTGTGCAAAACAAGTTCCCTCTGTGTCAGCTCCATAATTCCAGAGCCTAGCTCGTTGCCCTCATCATCAACATTTGTCACCTGTAGAAAAACCAAAACCTGCTATCAAGGGCTCCAGGCATTTTGCCAAATACAAATCAGTAGGAAGAATAGGCCCTATATAAAATCATATGCTGGTGGATTGTGTTTATTTAGGGAGGAATACAGGCGTGGCACTCTGTCCTTAACACAATCACCTTCATGCTTGAAGAAGGGTGAAATTTTTTAAAGAAGGTCTCATTGTTAGTAAAATACACTAGTTCAATAAATCTGGAGGCTACTAACCCTGTCAACAGAAAGATTTCAGGGAATTAGTTTCTAGGGTTACATAAAGGGCATTCATCTACATTCCAGGGGAACCTTAGCACCTGTATTACGTGTATTTGTACTTTCGAGGTGCACACATTGTAAGTACACTCAAAACTCATTGCCCAACATCAGACAAGCTGCCAAATAGTTACTGTGGCCTATTGCACCAAAACTGAACCGCCCACCTCATAAGATATTCAAAGATCCATTGCAGCAATTTTTATTAAAATCAACCTCCTAAAATTTCATCAGAGGAAATTCAATTTTTTTCTCCTACTGAGAAACTAAATCACTTAGCCTCTATATTATCACTGTATAGATACATATAGAGGACCAGGGATGTTTCCAAACTCAAGAAAAACACAGGAGGCCTGCATTGGTGTAAAAAATGTTGCCCTAAACTACTTTAATGACACCAGATATGCCTTAATTCACTCAATTACTAGTGGCAGAACACTCTCTACAAGATAAATAAATGCAGGTTACCTTAAACTTGGTGGGGTGGTTGTCTGGAACCCTGTCTCTGCATGGACAGCTACAGCAACTCCCCATGATGTCAACACATTGGGCAAGTCCTAGAACATAAGAAAAATCACATACCCTGCAACATTTTGAAGCTTGCAAAGCAAAACAAAATACAAGTTACTTCTTCTCAGCAAAGCCTTATAAACAGTTCAGGATGTACATTTCTCTAATGGCTGTGTGTGGTAGCTGGGGAATGGAGGCTGTGAGGGAATTTGTATCATGAGTGTAACTATTTTCAATTTGAGGAATATTCATACTCCCATCAGCCATTTTGGGACAATTTAATTGCCTGGTCTGCTAAGGATTACACAATTACTGGGCTCAAAACAACACAATAAACCACACTCAAGGGTTAAGGCTTGAGTGTGAGTTGTCACTGAACTGTGGATTATCGTTGGCTGATCCCAGGCAAGTTAATGAACTATGAACAAATTACAATTTACAGCGCAACAAACCATCTTCATAGGCTGTTTTTGGTTAACAAACCATGGCTTGCCATCTGGGTTCATACATGATAACCCGTGGTTCAACAGCAACCCACAGTTAATCTATACTCAACCCATGAGTGTGGATTATCATGTTACCTGAGCCCAATTTAATGAGGGCATTTGTGTCAGGGCAGGATTTCAGAAATGAAACATTTAAGGGAAAATAAATTTCTAAATTCTTTATGCTTTGCTTAATTCTTACCTAGATATAGCCATTAGTAGTTTTTTAACAGGAGGGGAGGAATTCCCAACAGCCCTCTGCTGGGTGTCATGGTAAGCAGGATGTCACACCTACAGTTGCATAGAAATTGTGCCATCTTTCACCTAACATGGAGAACAGAGTCAAGAGAAAGAGAATGACCATAAAAATGCAGTATTTGGTATCAGACAGGCTTCCTTTAACACAACCAAGTATCTTTTATTGACATCATTCCTTTGCTAAGGTCACAGGGCTGCAGTGGCATTCTGAAACAAAGGCCAAGAAATATTGGGGAAGGCCTAAAATTATCATTCCTCCTGTTCTCTTCATTCCTACTAAAACTTATTGCTTTAAAATGAATTATTGTTTGACCATACTGACTGATTAAATGAGAAATGACATTAACAGAACAGCCTATAAACAACTTAAAATACATTTTCCTTGCGTTGCATTTGGAGATGAAGCTGTAAAAAATGGAAAATTTCAATTACTGTTTTAAAATGTACTTCAGTGCGGAAATTGATGTTTATTCTCTTTAATCTGAAATCCTTTACCATCTTATGAGGAAGTAACCCCTCCATTCAATGAGAACTATCTCTGTTACAGCCTGAGAAGTTACTGTATTTGTGTACATGATTGCAACAACTGTAACCAAATTGAGAGGAATTGGACGGCCATCTGAGAAGGATGGTTTAACCGGGAGTCCTACAGGTGGTTGGACCCTCTTCCCCCTTCCAACTCTACTCTTCTATGATTCTATAACTGCTGCCAAACATTTCAAATAAAGAATGGCCCACTCCCATACCCCAAAGCACTGATTCAATCAGTTTCATTGTGCATACTTATTTTACTATGTTATTGTTTATTTTGTACATTGTTTAAAGCTCTTTTGTATAAAAAGTGGAGGAAATGCATTAAATAAATAACTTTTGCCCATTGTTGATAATATGTTATTAGTTTGCTTAAGTCTCAGATATGTTCTTGGGCAACGGTGCACAAAGCAGTGTTTTGCGAAAGCCAGGAGGTTCCTCAGAAACTTAGCAAGGGTTTGTGGATGAGCAGTTTAGATAAGGGCACATATACCTCCTAGAAAGACAGTTTTCCCAATATGATTGATTTTTCCTAACAATGTACAATCTCAGAAGGGTGCTGGATGTTGTTTGGAATACACTTTCAGTTCTTTCATGGGTAACGGCACATCTTAAGAGGCTTCTCTTGTGAATAGAGTCTGTGCTGCATAATGCTCCCCAGGATACTTGATATGGGTTTCTTGGCAAAAAAGTTTAAATGAAAAGGGTTTCCTCATGGTAGAAGGTTTGAAAGCTGCAAGCCAAAAAGCATCCCAATTATATATAAGAGCTAATAAATAGACAGACTAATGTGGATTTAGTAGGTAATAAAACAAAGAAGCAAAGAAGCAAATTAGTAAAAGTGAGAAAATCAAAACAGGTCCATTTAGCCATCTTTATTAGCTAATAACATATTTGAGACTGAAAGAGGATTGTACGACCATTTAGTTGTTTATCAATCGTATTATTAAAATCTCCTAATGCTCTGGATTCCAGAAATTCCTATAGCAATTTTTTCCTCTATCTGGCTGTAACCTATGGAAAGCTAAGTAAAAAGCCTATTGTTTTCAACAGGAATAGTGTCCACCCTTCAATCCTCTGGAAGCTCACCTGTCTTCCATGTTTTTGTTGGCTGTTTTTCCTGCTGCTCGCAGCTTGGCTGTAAATTACACTTCCTTTGCGCAGGCCTGAAGTGCCAAACATTCTGTAACCAATTAATATACAACAAGTATCACTACTGTATTTTACAGAAGAGTCCCTCAAGTTTCATACTTGATGCGACTCAGAAAATTTTCACAATGACAAGAATTATAAAATAATACAAAGTGCTACTCAGTGTTTATCTAGAATGGAAGATGAACAAGTGATTTGTAACATGCTAACAATATTTCAAACAAAACATTAGTAACCCTTTTGAACCAATTTAGTCAATTGATCTCTAAAGATATTAAGTGCTGTTGAATAGCTGCAGGTGACAAAAAGTTTTAAAACCACACACACACACTTTTAAGCTGTTCTCAGACAAAATGCTTGCAGATTATTTTATACTGCAAATCTATTCTTTTGATCACTATTCCCCCACAGGGTCACCACAAAACAAAGCTACTATTGCACCAAATCAGTGGCAATAGTGTTAAACCTACCCAACATCTATGATGCACTTTCTCTTTCCCTATTATTTTGTTAATGTAGAGTAGCTTACCCAATCCTAAAAGCCAATATAAAATACTTTAGGAAGGTATTTCACAAAAAATATTAATTCAAAACAAATTAAATTGTCAAAATGTACCTAAGTATACTCTCACCACTCATGTAAACAGCAGCTGTTCTTTACTTATGGAACATGGATGACTTATTAAGGAGTAACAGAGCATTACATGATCCTAATGCAAATGTTGATAAAACCAACATTTCGAATGCCAGCGACAGATTTAAAGGAATCACATTCCCAGTAGCCTATACACAATTCTTCTTAATATGAAAAGACATTTGCACAGTGTTAGCAGCACTGTACAATATAAAACTAAAGGCCATTCCATATATGAACCAGGACATAGATTAGTAGCCTCAATTAAGAACTTTGCTTGTTTGCAACCCACTAAACAAACCTAAGAGCTAACACTGGACCCAGCATCCCCAACCTCTGTCATACTTAAACCTTTGTGGACGCACAACCCAGGCTGCAAAAATTCCATGATGACCTAAAAAGTTGTTTGCAGCAAAGAATGGAAATATGCTACCAGTTCTATGCAGACCTGGTTTCTAAAATAAATTGAAATTGGTTCTCAGGAATTTAAAATATTTTTGTCCACTCTGATCCACAAGCTCCTTTAACAATCTAGAAGTTGGTTGTTACAGGTCGTCCTGAAGTAAAACTTCCTAGTATGTTGCTCAGTACAATCAACAGGGAATGTTTTCAAAGCATATTAACCTCCACATGATAACTAGACATTTGGAAGACTGAAAAAAAGAGAAACAATCTGTAACAAATTAGTACAGATCAGGAGTGTAAAAAAAATGCAGACCATGATAAATATTGTTTAAGATGGTAAAACCTGCCAGACAGCAAGCAAAGTGTTGTTCATACAACACTTTATAACTGGAACTGTGTGATACTGTCATCAGTGTTAGGTTTGGAAAATAAATCCATCTCCAAACATGTTCTACTAGAGTAAGAAAGTGAAGCCTCACAGAGACTTAATGTTGGTGCACTAGTCCCATTATTGCTGGTGCAGCAATAGGAAAACCGCCAGTTAAAAAAAAAAAAAAAAGAGGAGGAGGGAAATCATGATGCATGATTAGCAGATGAGCGTGACTGAGAGGGGACCCCTCTCAGGCTGCAAGTGAAGACAGGAAAAAAGTGTACGCTGGATGGACCGGGGCATGGCACTTGGCGTGGCGCAGGGGGCGAGGAGCGAAATCCCTTGAATCTACTCGGAGATTAAGATTAGAATAACGGTACTGAATACTGGACGGTGGAGATGAGGCAGGGTTCTTGCCCGAAGGGATGGAGACGAGGCACACCGGGCCGGAGACGGAGGGAAGGGGCAGCAGGGACCTACGAGGGGACCGTGGGTGGCCCGGCTGCGCTCGGGGGTCTCCGAGGCGACGGGATCAGGAGGAGGCCAGAAAGCGCTGGAGGCGGCCGCAGGGGGAGCCCGGGGACCTCAGACGAGGGTTGACTTAAGCGCCGCCACGAGGGGTTGGGGGGGGATACCGCGCAGGGCGGGCCAGAGGGTCTTCGGTACCTGCGGCGCTTTCCAGGCGCTGCCCGAGCCGAACGGAACGGTAGAAGCCGCCTCGCCGCCGCCTCCGTCCTTCTCCCCAAGTCCAGCTTGGGTTGGGGACGCCGGGAGCAGCGAGTAACGGACGCGGACTAGAGCGTCGCTTGCCGGCAGGAGGACCCGAGCCCCGGGCTCGCGACAGCGGGAGGGAAGGTGCGGAGCGGGAGGGAGCGAGGGAGGGGCGGAAGGAAGGAAGGAAGGAAGGAATCAGCGCATAGACTTCGTACTGTTAGACTGATAATTCCATTGTTCAGAGACGGAACTTCCTACCTACTTTCTATGCAACCTACCCCTCCCCCCCGCACCTGTTATGGGGCAAAAGCTGCCCTTAGGAAAAACAGAGGGAAATCCAGGAATTTAACGCAGCTGTGATTGTGTCGCCTCAGAGAAAGGTAGAAGGAAACACGGAAGCTCATAGCATTTCCGACTCGAGTCTTGTTTTATGTGAAAAAATTGAATAACAAAAGCACCACGCGCGTTTATGTATTTTTAATAATGCCACGCGTTGCAAATACAGTAGAGTTGTGCCAAAATTACAGATTAACGGGTTGTGGCTGAGGGTTACAGTACAATCCTGTACATGCCTACTCAGAAGTAATTCCCATTGATTTCAATGGGGCTTACTCTCAAATCAGAGGACATAGGATTACAGTCTAAGCAAACAATTTACTTTATTAATTTCTATACCACTCAATAGCAAAAGCGTTCCGAGCAGTTTTGCAGTCTTATACATGCTTAGGGAAAAAAAGTCCTACAACTCCCATTATTCCCTGAAAAGCTGTAAGGAGTGATAGGACTCTTTTCAGTCTAAAAATGCCTAGTATTGCATTGTTAAAGGCCTAAAACCACTCTGGTATGCATCCTGCTTAAGCTGGAGGCAGAGCTAAGGGTGAAAAAGTGCTTTACAACAAGCCTGTAATATAGTCCACTGTAATTATTCTCATATTGCCAGGCTGAGAGTAATTTTAAGACAAACCTGCCTTGTGATCCAGTGTCATTATCCAGTATTATATACTGAGAAATGTCAGATCACTCTTGTTTCGTCTTTTCTAAGGCTGGAGAAAGAGTGCAAAATTGATCGCTGCAGGGCCATCGGGAGGAGCTGATTAACCCTTTCCCGGTGGACTTTTCTGTTACTCTTGAAAAGAGCTCCCCACGAGCTGAGTTCCCCCCACCGCGGAGTTCCCGTCCAGAGCACAGTGGTCGGACGGGAGCGGGCTCGGTTGCAAGAACGGCAAATGGAAACAGTTAATCAGCTTCTCCCACCGCGCCGATGCTGCAGACGTCAAGGGTTCCACCCTCCACGCACACCCCGTACCCACTTTCCTTTCTGAGTGGGCAGCTTGTGACCCTGCAGAGGCTGTTGGACTACACCCCCATCATCCCCACCTCTGGCTAGGGCTAACGGGAGATGGAGTCCAAGAACATCGGTGGTCCGCAAGTTGCCCCACCCTGCTTTAAATGAAATAGCCTGTCGTGTATTTGGAGCCCCGAGATTACTCTGAAGTACTCTGAAATGCTTCAGGGACAGGTGTTAGGACTATCTTCCCCTCGAATCTGATCCTTAGCTTCTGTCAGCGGCTGTTTTGGGTTTCTAGGGAAAATGCAGAAATCCCTTAAAACAAATTTCGGGCTACAGCAAACGTCATTCAGGTTCAATTACGTCAGTCAACCCCGTGTTGACCACCCAAAGCAGGACTTTGGGGAACTGAGGTGCCTTGGCTCCACTGCAGCCTTACCCAACTTAATGCCTGCCAGATGTGTTAGGTTGTAATTCCTATAGTTGGCTTTACTAGTGGAGAATTATGGGAATTGCAGTCCAACACATCTGGCAGGCACTCAGTTGGGGAAGGCAGCTTCACTGGCTTGCATGAAGCCACCTAATGCTCCATCCTGCACACAGACCAAAGTGCGAAATCAAGCCAGAATCTGTTCTCTGTGCCTAATTCAGCTCTAGCTCAGTTACCACCACCCACACCTGTGGTCCCCTGGTGAACACAGAGGAGCAGAGGCAGGGGAGGGGGGAACTGCTGCTTTACTCACAGGAGTCCTTGTCTGTAATGCACATGAATGCCAGCAGTCCCTAAGAGCCATAAGTTTTGCTCCTTGGCTTGCTCATTAAGTTGCATAGAACTTTTTGAATTTAGAGCTTAATGTGAGCCAGGGCTGAACTAGGAAACCTGTCTCTACCTGCCAACACTTGACTCTGAGATAATGTAGGATAATCAGCAAGTACCTTTGAGCAAATGAAGAGTGCCTTCCCCAGGATGACTTAAGGTAGGGATGGATGTCCCTCTAGGTATATTCTTCTCCATCAGTGCTCATTCACAGTGGGTTACAGTTTCATACAACATAAGTAAACCTTTCCTCTGGGTAGTAGGAATTAAATCCTTTGAGTCCCAAACAAGTTTTTCTGGAGTTACACCCTGCTGCCTTGTTGCCCCAGAATGAACCTTAAAGAGTCTTCTCACACATCTGCAATTAGTCCAAGAATCTTTCCAGGGCAGAAAGTGTAATGTTTTAAAATAGGAGGGTTCTAAATAGGAGAGGTGGGAAATTAGGAATACTGCTTTGCCTCTGCTTGCACTGGAAGTCTTCAGCAGTAAATGTAAAATATCCTTCCCCTGACACCCTCCAGATGTTTTGGACTGCAGCCCCCAGCATGCCTCACCATTGGCCATGTGGTCCTTCTTGGATTGTAAACCAGCAGGCAGGGACAATCTTGTTTTACTGATTACAGTGGAAATGAGCCTTTTTTCCCAGAAGAGTGGGCTGAAAGGAATTTAAATAAGCTGAGGCTGATGGGAGCCAGGATTCAAATGCAGCAGCCAGACTGGGACCAGGTGTCTGGCCATATAACTTCTGTTCTTGCCCATCCACATTATGTTTCCAAGCCCAATTCAAGGTGCTGGTGTTAATAAAGCTATTCACAGTTTGAGACCTGGTAGAATGCCAAAATGTACTCAGATACTATGCTCAGTACTAGATACTTTTATACTGAGTGTTATTTTATACAGTCACATTTTCTTTTTTCTTACTTATTCTTCCAATATATTTTATTTTGAATTGTTATTGTTGTTTGTAAAATTGCTTTTATTGGATGTTTTAATTGTGTTTTATATTATTCATTGATTTTTTTGTAAGCTGTTCTGAGGCTTGGGCAAAGGACGGGTTACAAATGTCATAAATAAATACTTCTCCAAATACCACCTCCAAGGGAGGTTCAGCTGGTGGCAATAAGGAGAAGGGCCTTCTCCATGGTAGCCCCCAAATTATGGAATTATCTCTCCACCAAGGCTTGCCTAGTACAAACCTTACTATCTTTTTAGTCCCAGGGTAAGACTACTTTCTTTCCTGAAGCATTTACTAACTTCATATTAGCACATGTGGGTGTTGGGAGGTACTGCATGCTGTTTTTCCTAGTAAAATAGACTGGGTTTAGCTGTTTGGTAGTTAAAAAACAAATGGTTTAAAATGCGTTTATTACATAATTTTATGGTGTTTATTGTTCTATTATATATTGCATTGCATTTGTTAGTGCTCACTGCCCAAAGAACTTCAGCTACTGGACAATATAAAATAGATAAATAATGTGGAGGCTAGAAGGTTGGGAAGGCTGGCATAGGCCAACCTACAGCTCTGGCCTAATTTTAAAAACCCTCTACCAGCAATTGGTTCAGACCTCTGACAAGAGCTATCTATCACTCATCAGTCACCCACTTTTAGCTCTGACCCCACTCTTTACCAGAATATAGCCCTTCCAAAATTATCCCTAAAGGAAATGTGATCCTCAACAGAAAAACACTCTCCATCTCTGCTGTATAGCATAGACTCATAGTGAATGTTCCCAGCACAAAAGAATAGCAAATAACAAGGATAGGGTAGTTTTGTGAGCCCAAGAAACAAATTCCAATCTGAGAAAGGTCTTAGAGTGGATTCCATCTAGGAGAGGACCCAAATGCAGCCTCGGTGCGGTCCAAGGCAGAGTGGATGGCACATGTGTGATTATAACTGATTTTAAGCCTACTTAGAAGTAAGCTGGAGTGAATCATTTAGCAGTACTTCCAAATCCTGATGGGAAAAACCTCTTATCTTGCTGGGAGAGTGGGTGGTACCTAGGGAGGAAGCTGGCAGCCTGATAGGGAAGCCCTGCAGCCTCTACCTGGCCACAGACTGGAAGTTCCCCATCCTTGGTATAGAGAGCCCCCATTCAGATGGGCTGAGTTAAGATGTCTGCTGGTGAATCTATAATATGTTCGCTTTTTAGTAGAGGTATCCTGCTTCCTGTCTGCCTGGAAGTTATAATTTCTTGATTTTCCAAGCCCAATTGCCCTCCAATCTCAGACCTATATAGACAGATTTGATCAGTGGTGAGGGGCATACCCTCTGTGTACACTCAAGAGCTCACCATTAGTACTCCACTGTTTGAAAACGCTGACCCACTGAATATAGGCTGAATTTGCAACTGGGCACATGTTGTGGCAGTCCCATGGCCAACGGCAGCACAGTTGCACTTGGCAAAGAAGTTGTGGGTCATTTCCACATGAACTTGCATCCTCCATGGACACATTCATAGGACTATCAAGTAACAGTTTGGTTGTGTGAAACCATTATCACAGCTGTTCATGCACAGAAATTGAATGAAGCACCACCACATGTGAACTGGTCTGGTGAACTGGTCTGATGACCTGGAGCTGAATGTGTGAACAATGGAGAAGGATTGTGTTTGAGGTGATGTGAAAGCCCTCCCTAGCGTGTCTAGGAAACTCTGATGGGGGTGGGGTGGGGAGTAAGAAATATGCACACATGAACTCAGCCCAACCTGGCTCTTAGAAGTAAAAGCAGATAAGTTCAAAATTCACCTTCTGCAATTCTGTGTATATGTGCTTTGCACAATTGTGACATGATTAACAAGCTTCATTGGCTTGTTAAATCCACAGCTCATGCTCATTATGTGACAGCCAGATTTAATTAATAACCCTTGCTGCTGCAGCTTACCATACCCATGGCATCGGTTATTTGAGGGGGCAGTAATATAACCCTATTGTTATATAACTCTGTTGTTGGCTTATTTAAGGACTGTCATTCCCTCAATATGCCA